GACATTTGAATTGTAGAATTCGTAATAACTCTAAACATCTACATAAGTTATATCTTCGAACAAGTTATATGAAATATAATTAATGATTAAACTAACTTACAAGTGAAGTTCGATCATAATTATATAAATTACTTGTTCGAAGTTATAAGTACCCACCCAAAAAAAAAAATTTTAATTTAACCCATCCCCTCAAATAAAAATAATTGTCTAAAGTAAATGAACGGAAATGGGAGATGGAGAAGAGATAGACAAGGAACAGCCCTACCGAAAGAGTGGTACTGGAATGGTACTGAATTGGACTTGGCTTGAGTTCCACTTCAGTACCACTACCTGATAACCCATAAGAAGACATTTTTAAAGTACTTTAACAATAGTTTTAAAGGTATATAAGATTAACAAACCGTCTCTCACGATATACGTGTAAAACAGCAAAAAAAACATAATAGTTCTAGAAAATTTCTGTTAAGTTTGGAAATTATATTGCAATCCCTCCTTGAACAATAGACCCCTAGGTCCTTTGTTGAAAGATTAAAATTTTAACCTGAGTTTTATTGCTTAAAAAATTTATAATTTTAATAACTCAACTTTAAAAAATATATATTGAGATTCGTTAATATTTCCAGATTATGAATATCTAAAATTTATCAAAAAATAGTTACATTTAAAAAAGTTATAATTTATTTCGTATACCTTTAGTTTGACAAAAAAATGGACATCATTTTTGAATTTAGCTGCCAAAGGACATATCATATGCATAATAATGTATGAAAATAATATAAATCCGGGAAAAACAAATATAATATTGAAATAAATATAAAGTATTAGTTTAAACATATTGAAAAAGCTAGTCGCTTTTCACTTTTATGAGGGTATTAACGGTAACTCGATCCTTTTCGCAGGTAAATTTCCCAGTTACATTTCAGTACCAAAATGCACTAAATTAGTACTGAGTTCGTACTGAGCCCTCAGTTCCAATTTTCCAGTACCAATCCAGTACCACCCATCTGGCAGGGAGGGGATAAAGTCAGATGCACAGGTTTTTTGCATTGATCTATCTCTAAATAGTAGCTAAATCTGGCAACAAGTTGCGGTACTACATAAGTTATATCTTCGAACAAGTAATTCATATAATTATGATCGAACTACACTTGTAAGTTCGTTTAATCATTAAGTTTTACCTTTGATGGTGCGTCTCCAATTAGGCTGTGTCAGTTCATCGAGATATTTCGAGTTCAAGATATTTCGTCAGAGGCCTGGAGGAATAACAGACGACACAATGTTATTCTTATGGGGAAGAAAATTTGTTTCCACTTTCATCAATTTTATTCATATTTTTGTTGACATATAATAAAATTAAAATGTGTGTTGATAATTAATTTTGTTATATATTTGATTCAATTGCATTGATAAATTTTCTGAATTCGTGTTAAAATATAAATTTTGAGGTTATGGGTGTTTGTTTACTAATCACATTTTACATTTTAACAACATTATTAAACAATATCCAGTATACATGTTATTAAAAAATATATATTTTAAGTGAGAATTACTGCAGCAATAAAAGATTTCAAGTTAGTAAACAAACACCCCTAACCTCAAAAATTATATTTTATCACGAATTCAGAGAATCTAGCAATGCAATTGAATCAAATATATAACAAAATTAATTATCAACACACATTTTAATTTTATTATATGTCAAGAAGCGTTTTCCATATTTAAAGTATGAATAAAATTGATGAAAGTGGAAACTAATTTTCTTCCCCATAAGAATAACATTGTGTCGTCTGTTCGTTGTCCCTCCAGGCCTCTGACGTCACACCTAGAATCGACTCTGACGTCATAAGTGACAGAGCTTAATAGGAATCTAAGAGCATTCGTAAACGTATACGTATGACGTCACCAATGCTAAACTACATGTGAACCAATGCAACGTATACGCAACGCTTGTTCCTAGGGTCCCATTAGAGACGCACCACAAACGCATGGGACATCAGCATACTATGATTGCAAGAAGTTATGTTTTTTCGGTATAATTTTATGCAACTGTAGTATAAGGTCACGCCTCTTAAGCAGGAACGTTCATACAAAATTAACATAGAGGGTTCCCATACTACTACTTCTTCTTCTTCTTCTTCTTCTTCTTCTTCTTAAATGACTTGAGGCTTAGCCAACTGTCAGAACAATAAACTTAGAAGACGAAAAAGTTCTAGAATACACTATATGCTACACTGTTGGTAATGCAGGTTAGACAACAGCAAAGTAAATCCAGCTTATAGGAAATTTGAGATTGAATCAAATATATTGTTCGCTTGGAAACGGACAAGTCGAGTACAAGGAAAATGAATTTGTCATACGTTGAATTCATTCATGAATCATAATAAATTCCCATGAGAAGAATACATGCGAGAGTTGAATTCAAAGCGTATAGTATTGATATATATATATAATTGATCTCAATAACAATTTCTAACTTTCTATCAGAAAAATAAAACAATGGAAGGTTAAAGTAAGACTACTGAAGTCGAGCTCCCTCTGGGTAAAACAATGAGACACAAACTCAGATTGAGTGAGAAACATCAATTGTACTTGTAAGGCGGGAAAATGTTCACACCGGGTTTCAAACACCTTAAATATACTTAAACCTTGAACAAGGGGTATACAGTTAAGATATTAAACTGTCGAAGACCACAACACTGCAAGTTGACACCGCAGATATATAAAAGATGTTTACATAGTTCCACAAATCATTATAAACAGCAGAGGTCAAAGCACGATAACAGTGAGTCACTTCAAACTCAGATACAACCAGTAAAATTCATGAAAAGTCACACGGAACAGAATAAAATGGGTCCTCAGGGTGACACAAAAAATATGGATATTTCACAAAAAGGTTACGATGGGCGAGGGTAGAAGTCACACTCGCTTATAGAACAAAATTCAGAAAAATCAGGATTAGAACAAACTTCGAAGAACACCTCCGAGAGCACGTGGTAGAACGAACGGTTTAAAAAAAAGGTTAAAAAGTTGCTTTTAAAAGCAGAACAAATCATATATATTCACAGCACAGAACTTGGCTAAAAATGAACTAAAACTTGTTTGAACAAATCAATGTTAAATGCATGGAGTGCCGGAACAAATTCCGCCCGGTCACTACCCGTTGGCCGTTCCCATACTACAAACGATGGATTTTTCTCTCCGTGTAGGGTAGAATTTTCAGAAACGGCCTATAGAGTGAGTGCTCCGTATACTACTTCATGGTTTTAAGACTCTAAGGGTTCGGTCACACTATCTCATGCATGCAGAAACATTTGGCCGATCACACTTCAACGAAATCTAGTGAATGTTTAGTAACTTTCTAGTAATTTTCCAAAAATTTCGGTTGTAACTAGAAAGTTACTAAACATTCACTAGATAACCTAATTTTTCTTTTATATTAAATTTAATCAAAACATTTTTTTTATTGAAAATATTTTAACATTTTGTGAAATATAAAAATTATTGCGTCTCAACTTGCAGGCCTAGGATTGACTTTCAGGCTCAAAAAAATCCGTATTAATCAATTTTTTTATATTAACTAAATTTAATTAATTAATCAATATTTTACTTTAAATAACTAATATTATTGCATATTAAATTCATTTAATTAATTCCTTAATCAGATTAATTCTTTAAGAATATTATCAATAAAATTTTGTTATTTAATAATAATTTAATTTTAAAAGATTTTGATAAATTTCAGACAATAATTATGAAATTGAAAATAATTTGTTAAATAATTTTACATAAACTTTTTTAAAATAATTCAATCTTCAAAAATTTACAATCTATATTTTTGAAAATAATTGAACTTTAAGTGATTTTTGATTGAAATTTTTGGTAACTTATGTTTCTAAAGAATTTAATAAATATTATAGATAAAAATTGAAATTCAGAAGTTTTTAATTGAAAAATAATTTAATATAATTGAATTTTTGAAGATTATTATAAAAATTATTTAAAATAATTCAATTTCACAAGTTACAATTGAAATTATTAAAAAGTTTTATATAAAAATTTTAGAAATAATTAAATTTTAGAAAATTTTAAATTGAAATTTTTGAAAATAATTGAATGTCAAGTGTTTTTGAATTGCAATTTTTGTTAATTTTATTTGCTCATTTTTTTGAAAGTTTATACAAATTATTGTGGATTTCATAAAAATTTTTCATTGAAAAATAGTATAAGGTAATTGAATAAATGAAGAATATCATTAAAATTATTTAAAATAATTAATTTAGAGAAGAATTTTACTTAAAAATTTGTTAAATAATTTAATTAAAGAAGATTTGAAAAAGATCTGCATTGTATTCAAAAAAAGGACGTATTTTGTTTAAAAATTTTGTAAAGAAAGTAAAAAAAGTTGTGTAATCCTAGGACGGAATTTATGTATGGAATCATTTTTCTCAGCTTTACTAGACCTATAACTTGTACTAAGTCACTGTGAATGCTTTTTAATTTTTTTTGTCACACAGGGAAATAGTAAAAATTCTAAAAATATATCAATCCCTCTAAGTTAAAGTGAATCTTCTTTTATATTAAACTCAAGACTTGTACCTATATTATGCTTTTCTGCTTTTTCGAGCGGTGGACGATTTTTACCTTGATGACGCTCCTGAAGCAATTACTTTATTACTTGTCATTAAAAAAATTAAAATTTATCCTCTTTTAGTTTTTTCTCCGCGTGGCTGCTTTTATGCTAACGATATGAGTGTCAAGCAACTTATAGAATTAGAGAACTTAATTTTAGCGACTCTAAACGTTGAAGTTAAATTAAAAATTGTTATTGTTTAGAAATGAATAAACAAAAAAACCAAGATTATTTAATTAGTTTTCATTTAAAAAAATTTAGCTGCATGAATTTATTTGTTCTCATAGTAAAAGAAAAGTCTATTAACTTTAATTCTGACAATTGAATTCTGTTAGAAAAATAAATTTTTTTTAAACACATCTCATAAAAATCCAATGAAAAATTGTAATTTATTAGTTATTTCATTGGTAAGAATTCACAAAATATTCCATCAATTTTCGATGGCAGTTTGGAGTTTAAGTCACTACAGGTCAATATGTTGGAAGCGATGCAGTCCTTAAAACCAAATCCATGAATATTCATTGTCGTACATAATTATCTGTCGAAAGAAATAATGTTTTGTCTTTAAATCACCAATCGTAAACTACTATCACCTATTTTCACCAATGTGCACGATCACATTTTTTGCAGTAATATCCACTAAATCCGAGTTCATCAATCGGTTAACTTGTTCTACATCATCTTAACATGGATAGGAAAACCGTAAACTCCATAAATTTTTATTATCGGATATAAAAGGTTAAAAATTTTTAATAAATCCATCAATTTTACATAGGCGAATATTAATTAAATCACTTAGGCTCCGGAAAGGCCACCTGACATTTGTAGACATCGTCAAGCATAACAGTTTGTCCTTGACCTTGACTCACAGAGACAGGCGTTGTAGCATTAACTACAACTACTTGTTGCCCTTGTGTTTGTTGAGCTTGTTGCTGTTGATTACTCGTATTTGCTTGTGGAGCATTACTACTGCTGTTGGCATTTTGATTACGTGCTGTTTGGCCATATTTTTCATGAATCGCTCGATGCCGTTTAAGTGCAAAGCGATCAGAAAATCCTATTTCGCAAATATCACACCTGAAAAAATAAAAAAATATACATTTTAGATTATGAGATAAAAAGTAAAATTTCTTTCCAAATGTGTATTTAGTGAAGAAGTAAATTCGAAGGTAAGAAAATGGTCTGGTTTACTGTCCTCTTCAGGCTAATTTATTTTTTATAATAAATATACAACAAATAACTACCTGAATATAGAAATTTTTGTTTAGCAGATTCTAAAAATGTTGAATGATAATAACTTTATTAAATATAAATACAACAATCAATTAATTTTAACTGACGTAGTATTAGCAAATTTTTATGGTCTTCCGAAAACCCATAAAAAAGATGATCGTATCCTTAATAAATTACCGAACTGATTTTTAGCAAAAATTTTATATAATTAATTAAATTTTTTTAAATTTTTCAAAAGAAAAGAAATAACGGTAACAATATCAGAAAAAAACAGTATCAGTAAACTCAAGAAGTAGATAAGGAAAATAGAAAGAAAATAATAAGTGGAAAAAAATAAATCGAATGACACATAAATTTTACAATAAATAGTTATTAGGATTCCATAGTTTGGATATTTCTGCACTGAAAAAAGTTAAACACAGATTTCGTACTAAACACACGTTCAGATAGTGTACCTAACCTTTCGAGCAACATCGGTTCTACACTGAAAAAAGGGTTTGGTATTGACAAACAAACGTTTGGCTGGTATTTAAGCAACCAAAATTTTTTTGTTGAATCAAAATTTGTTTGACACAACCAAAATTAGAAAAAAAGAATTTTTGTTGTCCAAACTAAAGTTTGATTGGGACAACCAAAATTTTGTTGATTCAACAAAAAAATTTTGGTTGCTAAAATACCAACTAAATATTTGGTTGTTAATACAAAACCTTTTTTTCAGTGTAAATTGTATCACAGCTGCGCTTTTTGGTGGACAGATACTGTACTAAATCGTTTGTCCCACAAGTTAGGTCAGAATCTGTACTCAATTGGCGCTGCTGCTGTTCGATTTTAGTACTGCGTCTGCATATGATTGAGGTAAAATATCTGTCCCTCAAAAAATGCAGATGTTGTGTTAAACTTCTCTCAATGTGGAGAGAAATATACTTTGCCGATTGGGAAACATTAATTTTCAGCGATTTCATATCACTTTTATAAAAAAAAAAACTTTTTCCCATGTAAAATGCATGGGAAACTTCATGGGCAGAGCGGCGCCATTCATTATCAACCGATTTCAAAATAAAAAAATACGTGTCTCTTTATTTTCTATATAGAACAATTCTGGGAATGTGTGTTTTTAACTGAACTTTTAAACAATTTTATGCAAAAAATTATAAAATTAAAATTTAATATATTTTTTGTAATTTAAAAGTTAATATCTTGTTTTTAAAACTATTTGTATTCTTAGATTTTTCAAAAAAACTATTTCCTTTTACAAAAATTTTAAGCCTAGTCCGGCTGTGGAAAACAATTTTTTCAAAATTTTTGGAATTTTTAAAAAAATATTTCTGGTTTTGTTTTATACTACGTACTTTTATGTATTTTGATGCGCTGATTACGAAAATCATATTGAAAATACACAAAAATATGATTTCTATGGTGAAAACTATAAAAAAGTGCTAAAATTTTTTGATTTTTTCGTTTATTGGCTGAATATGACAAATTAAATGAAATGAGCCATATTGATGGTGTTATTCCTGAGTTATAAATTTCTATCGTCACTATTTCCTCGAAAATTGGTTCCTTCACTCTATATGTTTTACTTGATTTACTTGGAAAAAATTTTGATTTAAGTACTATTTTTTCGCCCGACAACACAATAACAATAAAATAAATGAAAATAAAATTTTAATGACAATTATTGTAATTTAAAAAAATTTAAAAAAAAATACAAAATAAAAAAAACTTACCTATGTGGTTTCTCTCCAGTATGAACCTTTGCATGATTTTTTAAGTGTGTCGCTTGATTAAAAGCAGAACCACAAATATTACATCGATATGGCTTTTCTCCAGTATGAATTCTACGATGATTCCACAATGTTGAATGTCTTGCAAATGTTTTTTCGCATACTTCACATTGGTATGGTCGTTCTCCAGAATGTATTCTTTCGTGATTTTTCAAATGTGGACTTTGAGAAAATTGCATACCACAGACACCACATTTGAATGGTTTTTCTCCAGTATGAACTCTACCGTGGTTTTTTAAGTAAGCCGCTAAAATTTAATACAATTATAATTATTTATATATATTATAATACAATCAAATTAATATAATTAATTAAAATGTAATAATAATAATCGTCTTTAACGTTTTTTAATATTTGTTAAATAATTTGTGAGGTTGCACAGTTTTTCATAATTATTTTTTTTGTAAAGAAAAGTACATAAATAACTATGTTATAAATGTAAACTTGTAAATAAACAATCGCCAATGATCAACAAGAATTATCAGGTCATGTTCGCATTTAATATTTGTTTTTAAAAGTAAATGTGTTTTTCCGTATCATGTATTCGAAGTGTTCAAATGAAGGAGAGTTGCCGACACCTGTTCATCAGTTCAGGAAAAATCAACACGCTTGCACCATTTCATCACATCTGCTTCCTCTGTTTGGAGGAAAATACCACGTGACCGAAAACTCCAAGTAATATTTTATTATCGTTATCATATTATTTCTCCATTCAACCCACAAATTGTTATCAATCCCTAATATACTCCCAGTATTTTAAAACAATGACCATTTTTAATAGTTTTTTTTACCTTACCGTGTAAGCTTACCACAACTTTACCACACTGTTAGAAAAATCTGTATTAGATTTAATATACATGCGTATGAAGAGAATATGCACTACAGGTATTGGGATCTGACATTCATACACATGCCATCTGGTGTTGAAAAATGTAACTAGTTTTGGATAACTGTTTGTGTCACTTGCAATTGTAGTTCCGCTGTCATTGTTAATTATTTTATCATTATGAATGAAGCTACATTTTTACCGCGTGAGAAATCTTCCTGCAGAATTAAGTGTTCTCTGAGAGGCTGTGGCAGTACTGTAGCGAAAAATTTAAGCGTAATTTTCCATAAACCGAAACCAAAACAACGAGTAGTGGATGTGAAATATACGTTCGATAATTTTGAAAAAGTCGATCAATTAAAGGCCTGGAAAAATGCTTTAAAAATAAACAGTATAAAGCCTTCTATGAGAGTATGTTCTCTGCCTTTCAAAAGAAGTGATTACATTTTGCCATGTAAGTTTAAGATTTTTAAATTTGGAGGTTATATAATCTTTCATATTACCCGTGCATGTGAACATTTGGAAAGTTAATTTATCACTGTAAAAACGGATAAATAAATTTTTTTTCACTTCTTGTTAACAGACTTTTACAATGAAAAATGAAATACATACATTTATAAATTTTCATATAATTACATGAAATATAAAGGAAAATACTATACTTTTCTTGCACATGTATCGCTGGATTTGAGAAAATAATTTGTATAAAAAAAATTCACTTATACATTTATTAAATTAAGCAATATTTTTTAAACGATTTTTAAACATGCATCCCATGTTATTCCCATGTAAATTCACTAAAAGTGTTACCCAATTTACGCCATATTGCTTTAGGCCCCGCCCCCATGTCAGATCCCAATTGAAATCTAAGATACATGTATATTAAATTTAAAGTGACAACATGGCGGCTGTAGATGCCTATTTCACCAAACGGTCATTATTTCCTTGATATTGAAAATTTATTTGAAATTGAAACAACAGTGCGTAATTCTTTAACTATTGTGTTGTTTATGTCCAAATAATGTTTTATAAGGGGAAAATTTTTCAAAAAAAACATTCTAAATACAAGAATTTTAATACTTATATGTGACATTTAGGTTAAGTACTATAAATGTCAAATTATATGCATTTTTACAATGTAAATTGATTTAAACTTGTATTTACATGAAAGAAATTACTTTGCTTTATTAATAAAAACCTTATTTTGTACACAAGAACATGTATAAATTGAGTAAAATGCAATTTTTTTATTTGAATTTTTTTCAGTGACAAAATTTAATATACTTTGTATATGAATTACACTCTAATATACCAGTTTCTTAAATTTAAGTACTTTATGTATATTAAAACTACAAACATTTTTAACAGTGCATGTAAACTTACCACGACCTTACTGTGTAAGCTTACTGTAAGGCGGAAGTTTTAAGATGACCTCAAGTTTACTGCACGCTTACACGGTAACCTTACAAACCCTACAGATATCCTTACAGTAACCTCACAGCAAGAAGTTGTGCTATGTAGGTCTATGCATTTATAAAAAATTTACAATCTTTCGTCTTTTCAAGTGTAAACATTCAAAATTTCAATTTTTTCTATATTTATTTAGAACTTAACTTATTTCGAAAATTAAACAACGAGCGTTATGCAGGCATTAAAATAATGACAGTCTCAACCCTGTAAAATGCAGAGCGTTAAAAAATTATCATTAATAAAGTTTTAAAGAACTATGTAATACATAATACTTAATGTAAGCACAATACAGCCCTACGACGCGCATGAATGGCTCACTGCAGAAGTAAATGTTTAAGGGGGTGTCCTGAATTAGAAAGCATAAAAAAGCTGTTTTTTGATAATTTTTTTAGAAGGGAAAAAAAATCTCAGATTAGTTAAACCTAAGGTACATTTTTATAGATGTTTGAAGAGTGTAAAAAAAATTTAAACCACATGATTCTATGTACTGTTAAGGAGTTATCACCCTATTCCGAGAGCGCCTTCAAAAAGCAGTATGCAATTGGCGGGAAAGATACAGAACGCAATTCCTGACCAGAAAAAAAAAAAATTTTTTTCAATTTTTGCATATGCAGTTTCTAGTTGAACCTATAAAAACACGAAAAAGTCGTGAAATAATAATTTTTATTGAAGTTTGAAGAAAAAAATATAATTTTTAGACAAAAAAAATCACTTTAAAGTGTTATAAAATTTTCTAAATATAGATTTTGAACCATGTTTTAGGTTCAACTAGAAGAGAATATTATACTGAAGAGAATAAGCGTTGGACCGATCCAATCCGTCGATAAATTTTTCTGCTATCTTTCCCGCCAATTGCATACTGCTTTTTGAAGGCGCTCTCGGAATAGGGTGATAACTCCTTAACAGTTCATAGAATCATGTGGTTTAAATTTTTTTTATACTCTTCAAACATCTATAAAAATGTACCTTAGGTTTAACTAATCTGAAATTTTTTTTCCCTTCTAAAAAAATTATCAAAAAACAGCTTTTTTTATGCTTTCCAATTCAGGACACCCCCTTAATTTGACAATTAAAATCTGTTTGTCCCACTTTTTGACATATACATTTTTCTTAAGAAAAAAACTGAGCTTTATGAAAAAAAAATAAAAATTGTCCATTTTATAGAAAAATGTAATGTAACGTAATTTATCAATTATCATTGCAGGAATATTCAAATTTCAGTTTTATTAATTATACAGCCCCACAAAAAAAGTGTCGTGCGCGGCAGACCAGACAAGTCATTTCCTATGTATTTTGACGCGCTGAACACGAATCCGAAGTCCGTTTTGCTCCATCACGTCAGGATTTTTTTCTAACCTCCAAAAACCTGTCGGATTTTGAGAGGTAGGCTATTATTTTTAAAAATTGATGGATTTACTTCAAACTTGGTATCTAGGGGTTTTTTGGGTCGCTGATAACGAATTTGAAGTTAGATTTTCAAAATTAAAAAGGGCGGCTCCAATATGGCGGACGAATTTTGTAAAAATTGATGGATTTACTTCAAACTTGGTATCTAGGGGTTTTTTTGGGTCGCTGATGACGAATTTGAAGTTATATTTTCAAAATTCAAAATGGCGGCTTCAATATGGCGGACGAATTTTGTAAAAATTGATGGATTTACTTCAAACTTGGTATCTAGGGGTTTTTTGGGTCGCTGATTACGAATCTGAAGTTAGATTTTCAAAACTAGAAATGAAAATTCTTATATACATAAGTAAGGTATTCACGTCTTTTTATGGTAGCGCACTCTTTTGTCCTCAAAGGATCTGTGTAATGGTTTTCTTTTCAAATTGGTGCCTCCAGGTACAATATCCCTTTTCAGCATCCAACAGTAGTCGGCCATCATATTTACATCCCATCTTCCTTGATAACGACGCTCAAATTCTTTAAGATCCTGATGGAATCGTTCTCCTTGTTCTTCACTGTAATCTCCCAAATTTTCAGGGAATTGATCCGGATGCGAGTCTAAGTAATGCAACTTTATGCTCATTAAGCATCCTAACTTACCAAAGTTTTTAATCATATCACTAACTATTTGCTCCCAATTTTCACTCTTGTGATTACCCAGAAAATTTCCGACAAATGCTTTGAAACTAAGCCATGCGGCTTTCTCCTTTTTATTCATCTTGGTGATAAATTGCTCATCTTTTAACAATTTGCGAATACGTGGTCCGTCGAAAACCCCTTCTTTTAGTTTCGCATCAGAGATTTCTGGAAACTTTTGTTCCAGGTATTTGAAACAGTTTCCTTTTTTATCTAAGGCTTTGACAAACTGTTTAATTGCTCCTAGTTTCGTGTGTAAGTAGTGTAGTGATTTGCTCGATCTCTACTGTCCCACAAACACAGGAAACATGGTGTTTTTGTAAAAACTGATTGTTGTCCAAGTAGTATGCTTAAAATCTTGAAATCTCCACAAATTTGCCAGTTGTGTTCTCGGTATCTAATTTTATCCAAAACTAGTTTCATATATTCATAGTTTTCTTTCATTTCTGTTGAATGCGCTATTGGAATTGGGGCCATATTGGCCATATTGGAGCCGCCATTTTAAATTTTGAAAATCTAACTTTAGATTCGTAATCAGCGACCCAAAAAATCCCTAGATACCAAGTTTGAAGTAAATCCATCAATTTTTACAAAATTCGTCCGCCATATTGAAGCCGCCATTTTGAATTTTGACAATCTAACTTCAAATTCGTTATCAGCGACCCAAAAAACCACTAGATACCAAGTTTGAAGTAAATCCATCAATTTTTTAAAAAAATAGCCTACCTCTCAAAATCCGTCAGGTTTTTGGAGGTTAGAAAAAAATCCTGACGTGATGGAGCAAAACGGACTTCGGATTCGTGTTCAGCGCGTCAAAATACATAAAAATACATAAAAATGACTAGTCTAGTCTGCCGCGCACGACACTT